TCCCCGTCCCTCCCTCCCTCCCCTCCCCCTCCCCTCCCCTCCCCTCCCCCTCCCCTCCCTCCCTCCCTCCCTCCCCCCCCCCTCTCCTCCTCCTCCTCCTCCTCCTCCTCCTCCTCCTCCTCCTTCTCCTCCTCCACCACCACCACCTCCTCCTCCTCCTACTACTACTACTCCTGCTACTACTACTCCTGCTACTACTCCTCCTCCTGCGCTCATGCCCTCCTCTTCCCCTCTCCTCTCCTTCTACCTCGGCATTTCTCTCTCCACCCGCTGCTCCTCCAATCTTCACTTTCTCACATCCGCCTGCTCTTTCTCACCTTCTCGTCAGAATCTTTCTGCCGAAGAGAAGGCCAAGTGGTGCCTCGATCCTCCTCCCACCAAGGTAGCCAAGGTGAACGGGAGCTGGGAACTGGATGTCACAAGATTGAAAAGTTGCACTTTGAGCAGCATGCCGAGGCAGGCGGACGAGCCCATAGCGGCACTACCAGCACAGTCATGCTGTACACGAGCAAGAGAGAGCAGCCGAGGGATGTTGACCGGTGAGTTGAAGAGCATGATCGTGCTGACGAGAAGATGATGGAGATGATGATGGTGATGATGATGGTGATGATGATGGTGATGATGGAGATGATGATGATGATGATGGTGATGATGATGATGATGATGATGATGGTGATGGTGATGGTGATGAAGTCAACGGCACTGATCGGCGAGTGCGATCAGGTCATATCGCGCTGCACGGGAACGAGCAAGCGGTGTACCGGAAGAGCTGTTGACAAGCACGAGTTATCACCAGCACATAGAGGAGGACTATCAAGCAGAGCACATCACTCCTGCTGCCGAGGTGAGAAAATTCTCCCCGTCCTCTTCATCCTTGAAACCCCTGCAGCAGCTGCTCCTCCACTCGGACAGCTACCATGGCTTCTACACGGGGGTCAGCTCTGACCGCTGCTGGACTTTTCCTGAGTGACGTGGCTGAGCAGGAGAGGAGGGCAGAGAGGACGGTCGAGACTTCTTTCCATCAAAACTTTGCGGGCGAGGCGTCAGGGGTGGCGCTACCCCGAGGGCTGGACATGGAGGACCAGCACTCACTCTTGTCCTCGGTCAAACTCCTCGCCTCTTCGCCTATTCCTTCCTCTTCGCCTACTCCTGCTCCTGCTCCTGCTCCTGCTCCTGCTCCTGCTCCTGCTCCTGCTCCTGCTCCTGCTCCTGCTCCTGCTCTACTACTCCTGCTCCTGCTCTACTACTCCTGCTCCTGCTCCTGCTCTACTACTTCCGTCGTCATCTTTCTCTTCTCACCTTACATACAGGAGCACGACCGGTACCTGCTCGATCCGGTCTCGAGGAGTAGTGCAAGGGTGAGGCCCTCACCGAATCCCAGCTGGGCCCTAGCTGATGAGCTTTCGGTTTCTCAGCTCGGGCAGCACAACACTCTGCAGTCAGGACACCTCTCGTGGATGACTGACTGCATGTCAACCGGGTCCAGCTGGGTGTTTCAACCGATGCAGAACGCAACGGCCAGCCACTGGTCGGGGGTTGACATTCACCAGAGCAACACTCTTCCTTACGAGACTCCATATGGCGCTGGGAATCAGCTGGGGTATGCCAGACTTGGGCAGGGCGACGCGTCCTCGGCCCGCGGGCCCTCGTGGGACTTCGGTGATGTCTGAACTTGGGGTTTGTCGGTATGTTTGACTGGCCAGCAGGGTTCGATTCAGAGCTGAGAAAGCCTTCGTTCTAGCTGACCGTGGGACTAGAGGCCAGCAGCCTCTTGCGCGTGCGGTGAAGGCGGCAAGACTATGGTACAAAGACGCAGGAAGGGGGGGGGGGAGAGAAGAAGTCTGAGGTATACAGATTACATGCAGGCATATACAGATGAAGTCAAGGGAGCAGGTGTAAGATAGTAGGAAGACTGTACATATGGTAACTCAATGTAAGTACATCGTTACAGATTCAAACATCCCGACATGCAATATCAGCTTGTTGGTCTTGTCCGTCCTGCAGTTAGAATCTCATACTTGCTCACTTCTCCTCGTCTTGCCTCCCACGGACTACACGCCTTGTCTACACGCCTTGTCTACACGCCTTGTCTACACGCCTTGTCTACACGCCTTGTCTACACGCCTTGTTTACCGCAACAATTCTCCCACTCGCCCGCTGTGCTCCTCATACGCTCGTTCTGTTCTCCTCCAACTTGCCTCCTGTCCTACTTTTCTCCTGTCTTCCTACGCTCCTCCTCTCCTACTTTTCTCCTGTCCTCCTACGCTCCTCCTCTCCTACTTTTCTCTTGTCCTCTTACGCTCCTCCTCTCCTACTTTTCTCCTGTCCTCTTACGCTCCTTCTCTCCTCCTGCTAGTGACCACCTCGAACAAGCAGCGCTCTCCTCATCCCTTCTCTTGCATCCTCTTCGGCCTCCATGACACGTCCCCCATCCTGAGCCTCGTGATGAAGCCCATCTGGTAGAACCGGTCCTCACAAGCTGAGAACAACCCCACCACCTCTCGTCCAGCTGGGGCAACAGTGACCACTCTGCTGCCCCTGTCTGGCTCTGACTTCACTCCCAGCCACTTGCAGACCCTCTGGTTGGTTGTGAACCTCAGCGCGTGAATGTGACCCTCCAAGATGGCAACCTCGGCCTGCCCTCCACCGTCATGGCCGCCAGAGTACGAGCAGGGGCAGGGGCAGGGGCAGCAAGAGCAGGAGCAGGAGCAGGAGCAGGAGCAGGAGCAGGAGCAGGAGCAGGGGCAGGAGCAGGAGCAGGAGCAGGGGCAGGGGCAGGAGCGGCGGCGGCAATAAGCAGCAGAAGAAGCCTGACGTACCTGTATGATGAACTCGTTCTCCCTCAGGTCGAACCGCTCGAGGTGAAGGTTGCCGGCCTCGAGGAATCTGCCCGCGAGGGAGGAGGAGGTGTGATGGACTGTGAGGGGCAGGTACTCGTCGTCCACCTGCAGCAGCTTCAGACAGCAGCAGGCACGCGATCGCCTTACCCGATGCACCACCTGGATTGCCTCCAACTTCCACTCCGTGGCAGAGAACTGGACGATGATGGAGTGGAGGGAGCCGTAGGAGGGGACAAGAGGAGCGTCAGAGAAGTTGATGGTGTAGGCCGGGTTGCCGAAGGGCCCGAAGGTCTTGAAGTCTTCGTACTCGGTGGCGAGGAGGAGCATGTCGGAGACGAGGGGCTCGACAGAAGGATCCACCTTCAAGGCGCCCTCGCACCAGTAGACGAGCTCCGAGCGACGGGCCCCAGCCTCCATGAGGAGCCTGACGACGTCGGGGTTGCCCTTCATGAGAGCGGCGAAGAGAGGAGACATGTGGATGGTCGGGGTCTTGTTTTCCAGCAGGTCCACCAGCCTCGTCTTCTTCACGTACGCCAGACTTCCCAGCTGTCGCATCTTCACCTTGGCGTAGAAGCTCCGGAGCTCTTGGAAGGAGAGCGTGCAAGGCTCCAGGTTGATCGACACTCCCACCTTGAGCAGAGCCTGCACCACGTCGATGTTGCCGACGGCACAGGCCCAGGTGATGGCGGAGACGCCATGGTAGTCGGAGACGAGGGGATCTGCCTTGGACTCGAGGAGGAGGGTGGCGCACTTGAGGTGGCCATGGCTGACGGCGCAGAGGAGAGGAACGCTGGGGTCTTCGATCTCGAGGTACCTGTGGAGGTCCGGGAGGTCGCGGATGAGGACGCGGTTGCTGCACCACTCCTTCATGAGGAACCTGAGCTTGGGGCTCTTGCTGTGGATGTTGACGGAGGGCGAGGCTCTCCGGATGACTTGTTGCAGGATCGTCACGTTGTTCCTGAGGCTGGCTAGGCAGGCGCAAGCTCGGAGGAAGTCTTGGGAGGGGGTGAGGGAGGGGGTCCTCCACAGGAGGTTGAAGCTGGACATGTACCCGTAGAAGATGCAGCAGAGGACAGCCATCTCCAGCTCCCTCACGTTCGCCCTCAGCAGCTCCTGCAGCGCCTCCACGTCGTTCCGCCTGCTGGCCAGCAGCAGGGGGCTGCTCTCGATCACGTTCCTCGAGGTCGGATCGATGCTCCGGGGGGGTCGCAGCAGCGCTCGCAGGCAGTCGAACCACTTGCGCTGGAGGCAGTGGTAGACAGCTCGCTTGACGACCGGGTGGTCCTTATCGAAGGGGCAGAGGTTCTTGATCAGCGACAGCAGCACGTCAGGCCAGTCGTAGTCGAGGCAGCGTTGGAGCAGGGAGATCCCGGCGTACTCGCTGTTCTTGACCGAGTCAGGAGTCGTCCTCCGCATGTCCCACGTGTCGACGATCATCTTGCAGATGCTGCGATGCCTCGCCATGCACGCCAACTCCAGCGCCGAGAGCCCTCCCGCGTCCGGCTCATACAGCCCGATCGCTCCCTCCCCCTTCTCCAGCACCAGCCGAAACGCGTCCGCGTGGCCCCAGCGAGCTGCCCAGGTCACGAACGAGTCCCCACACGCGTCCCTCAGGTCAAGCCTGTCCGTGCATCGCACCAGCGGGAGGAGGAACTCAGGCGCGGCGTCCTGAGCCATGCTGGTGACGTAGGCGAGGGCGGTCATCGGGATGTCGCCTTCCTCGCAAGGAGTCGACAGGACGTTTGCGTCCGCTCCTGCCTGTAGGACCTGCTGGACACAACCACTGCTGCAGGCGAGCACAGCATGCATGAGGGGAGTCTTGCCATTCTTGTCCTTGAGGTTGATCGCCTCCTCCACCTTGCTCACTGCTCGTGACCTCAGGGCACTGATGCTCGTCCGCAGCAGCCGCTCGTGCCCCTTGACGCAGGCCCAAGAGACCACGTTCCTCCCGTCCTCGTCGCATCGGAGCAAGTCTGCTTGCTTGTTGATCAGCTCCAAGATCATCTCAAGGTGATTCATCGACCCGTTCCGACACCACAGACTCCCAGCTATCGTCAGAGGGCAGCGGTGCTCCCCAGCTGAAGCAGGCTCGAAGTTGGGGTCAGCCTTGATCTCGAGAAGCTTCTTGAAGCACTTGAGGTCGCCATGGCTGATGCTCTCGATCAGCGCAACCCCAAGCGACTCCCGGCTGCGATCGAAGTGCGACACCAGGTCGATGATCCAGCTCTGCCCCGCTTGCACCACCTGCTTCAGATGCCCGGGCCTCACGATTCTCCAGCCCTTCCTCACCGTGAACTCGTGCAGCACCCACGCGCACTCCACTCCTCCTGCTTCGCAGGTCGCGTCGAAGATGTCTTGTACCGCCGCCTCGGTCAAGGCGCCCTCCTGCGCTAGTGCGATACTCTCGCGCAGTCGCTTCTCAGAGTTTGAGACTGCGAGGGCGTAAAGGACGGACGGGTGAAACGAGCTTGCCCCCATCTCCATCAGGTCCTCGTACACCATCCAGTTCTTATACTGCGCTGCTAGGGCTGCCGCCGTCTTGCCTCGCACCTCGAGGTCGAGGTCAAGGGCAGGGCAGCGGAGGAGGAGGAGGTAGATCTCCTTGTAGTCCTCCAGCTCCTTGGTGTAGGACTCGATCTGCTTGCTCAGGTCAGAGTTCTTGGAGGAGCAAATCGCCTTGAGCCCGTTCCAGGAGAAGCTGCGGAACTTGCAGTCAAACATGAGAGAGAGGCAGAAGAGGAGACATGAGAGGAGAGGAGACATGAGAGGAGAGGAGACATGAGAGGAGAGGAGAGGAGAGGGGAGGAGAGGAGAGGAGAGGGGAGGAGAGGAGAGGAGAGGGGAGGGGAGGAGACCAGAAGAGAAGAGAGGAGAGGAGAGGAGAGGAGAGGGGAGAAGAGGGGAGGGGAGAGGAGAGGAGAGGAGAGGAGAGGAGAGGAGAGAAGAGCGGAGAAGAGCGGAGAAGAGCGGAGGGGAGGAGAGGAGAGGAGAGGAGAGGAGAGGAGAGGAGCGGAGAGGAGAGGAGCGGAGAAGAGCGGAGAGGAGAGGAGAGGAGAGGAGAGGAGAGGAGAGGAGAGGAGAGGAGAGGAGAGGAGAGGAGAGGAGAAGAATATCACAGCACGGCACAGGGAAGGAGGAAGGAGGAGACCTCCAAGGGTTCCTGGTGAAGAGAGGTTTTCCCGACGGGGACTTGAGGGGGTTTCCTCTCATGTCCTTGAGCAACTCGACCGACGCGCAGATCTGCGGCTTCGTCATGGAGGTGATGGAGGAGACGTCGCCGAGAGAGAGCGCGAGGGAGTCCGAGTCCTCCTGGATGATGCTCTTGATGGCGTACTGGGACCAGGAGGACAGAGATAGGCAGGAGATAACGAGCATGAGAGGAGACATCTTCTCCCCGCCGGGATCCGTCCTGTTGACATCGGCTCCGATGTCCAGCAGGTACTCCACGACGTCGGTGAAACGGTTGCTGATGCTCCAGCACAGGAGGTTTGTTCGTCGCTTCAGCCCTCCCTTGATTGCGCTCTCGAACTCGCTGAGCTCGATCTCTCCCGTCCCGTCCACGTCCATGGACGCGATCAGGTCCTTGGCTGCCGTCATGCTCAGGAAAATCCCCTGACGCTGCAGCCCCCCGATCATCTCGTCGACGGTGATGGAGCCACTGCCGTCGGTGTCGATGAGCTTGAAGATGGTGGCGATGTTGTCTCGAACCTCTTCCTCCGAGAAGTCCTCTCCGAACTTGGCTCGCCAGGACTCAGGCAGGTCTTTGTCGACATTGATCTCCACGTTCTTGAGCTGGGGAGCCGTCTGGAGAGAGTTCAAGATGATCTTGGCGGAGTTGGACTGCACGGCAGCCTCTATGAGCTTGTCGTCTATCATGTCGGAGAACTCTCCTCTTCTCCTTGCTCCCTCACCGCGCTGCTTGTCCTCGCGGCGAGACGACTTGGGGGTCTCCGGGGGAAACATCTTGTTCATGATCAGCTCTGCTGCCTCCTGACGACCCAATGCAACTGCCGAGTGCAGGGCTGAGAAGCCCTTGGGGTTGCGATACTTGAGCTCGGCTCTCGGCAGTCGCTCGAGGAGGAGGGCGAGGCATCTGAGCTGATTGTTCCTCGCCGCCGCGTTGAGCAGCGAGTCACCTTTCTTCTTGCACGCGAGCGACGCTCCTTGGTGCACCAGGAACTCGAACGTCCGCATCTGAGCCGCCTGAGGGCTGTCGACGAGGTTGAAGAGAACTCCGTCAAGCTGCTCTTGGGAGAGCCGCATCAGCCGTATCAACCGCTCCAGGTTCTTGAGGTTGCCGCTGGAAGCCGCGTAGTCAAGAGCTGTCCTCTTGCCGAGGTCAGTGAGGAGCGGGTTCGCCTTGAGGGCGACAAGAGTCTCCATGAGACTTCCCTCCTCGTAGGTCTCGACGTCTGGGTTGGACGCAGCGATCATGAGGGGAGTGGTGCCTTCACGGTTACGAGCGTTGACGTCCATGAAGTGGTGCTGTATCATCGACTGCAAAATGTCCTGCCACTTGTCGTGCTCGTCAGATCCCAGCAGCAGATGCAGAGCTGTGTTGCCCGAGATGTCGACGACTGACATATCGATCTTGTCTTCTTCCATGAGGATCTTGGCGCACTCCCAGTTTCGATGCTCGAGGGCTGTGGTGAAAGCAGACCTCCCGTACGCGTCTCGCTGGTTTATCAGTCTGCTCAAGGGGCTGTCATCGTGCATGCCGGGCAGCGAAAACCTCCTCTGCTTCTGTGCTACTGGAGACGACATGAGGAGGAGGGAAGAGGATTTGCCGCGGTTGAGCTTCGGCTTGGCGACGCTCTTCTTGCTCCTGGCAATCATTTCTTTCAGAAGCTTCACGTTGCCTTCTTTGACGATGTCAATCACAGGGTTGCTCTCACTCTTGTACGACTTGAGCGGCTGAACAAGAGTCTTGATGAAGGTGTATGACTCCTCCTCAACGTCTTCAGGATCATCCAGTTCAAGGTGGAGGTGAAATCGACTCTGCTTCTTCGCTCTGCACAAGGAGATTTTTTCTTGCTGAGATCCACTCTTCTTCCTTCCCTTGTTTCGTATGATGCCCCGAATCTTTTCCTGCAAGGCATCGTCTCGATTCTGCCGCTCGTGTGATAGGATCACATACTTCTTCAACGCTTTGCACACAACCCTGGTTGCAGATCGAAACACCTTGTCTTGAAAATCTTTCAGCTCGTCGGTGAGCAGGCACTGGAAGACGTGGGTCTCAATCAAACAAGGTTGATGAGAATCGAAGAAGAACTTCTGTCTTACCTGTTCTTTCTCGGGATGGTTCTTATCTCTCATCAGAAGTGTGATGAAGTCATAACTTGCACTGCTCATGGTTCAAACTTAACAAGCGTTTCAATAACTGAAACTCTTGTTCAAAGAAACAATCCTCCAAGCTCTGTTCTTCACACCTTCACAGCATATGCAGTCATATGATACGTGTGGTCACGTGAAACCCGCACGTCAGAACCTCCGCATCCCGTCGAACTGTGACGACCAAGGCAAGTTCTGCTCCCTTCTTGTCAAGCATGAAAGATTGATTGAGACGCTTCTGAGCGAAACAACTCAAGTATTTTTGATACAGTCTTGTTCTTCTCACTCAGACGATCTCACTGTCACTTCTTCTTCTCGCATCAGGCTCCAAGTCACCTCACAGCCCTTCCAAGTCATCCCCTCCTCTCCCCTCCCTCCTCTCTCCCGCCATTACAGTGACTGGGTCGGACTTCCCGATGCCTGATGACTTTTCAGTGTAGCCCGGCAGTAGCCTAGTAGGCCCGGCTTAAAAGTTACCGTGAACTTCCGAAGCAAGTACTGGCCCGGCCCTTTCGGACGCTGACTGAGTAGAATCGGCGCGTAGGCTATGGCACTACGGCCCAGGAGGACATCCGGAGCTCGGTGGGGGATCGGACGTCTACCTGCTGCTCTTGCTCATCTGAAAATTTACTACTCCGCCCAAGGCCGGGGGCGCCGGGCGGCGGGCCGCTGCGCGGCCCGGCGGCTGGCAAGTCACTCGGCGGCGACCCGGTGACGGGGGCCCCGCGTCAGTGCCAGTGCCCGCCCGGTGGCTGCGCGCGCCCCGTGCCACTGCGGCGACGGTGCCAGCCTGGGCAGCCTCCGACACTGGCCGGAATGACAGTGCCAGGCGGCGGCCCCCGGCCCCGGCCGGCCGCGGGGTCGCCGGGCCCGCGGGGCCGGGGGCAGTGCGCCGGGCGCCGGGGCGGCGGCTGAGTCACTCACTGCCGGCTCACAAAGTCAGTCCGATCAGGAAACTTGACGTCCGATCAGTGACCGTTAGTCAGGCCAGTGTAATGGATCATCACATGCCCGGGCCCGGGGCCGGGCGCCCCCGGGCCCGGCAGGACTCGAGTGACTCAGTATGATTCAGTTGAAGGCTTGGGACAGTCAGACGGTGTGACTCCGACTACCGGGCCGCGGGCCCCGGCCCGGCCACCCGGCCGGCCCGGGGCCGCCACCTGAGTCCACTCATCAGTGACACTGTCCGACTCGGCGATCAGTTTTACTCAAAGTTAAGTTAAAAATCAGTGTATGATCCTGAACTAAGTGGTTCCACGGGTCCGCCCCAGAGCCCCAGTTCCCGCCCGCCATTTCGCCACAAACTTGCGGACAATGACAGACCCAGGCTCGGGTGCCGAAACATGGTAAGATGATGCGAGAGATGCGGCAAAACAACATCAGTCTTCGTGTCTCCTCTAATAATTATTTTTTGACATCATCTGTATTTTTTGTTGTTCTTGGGCAATCAACTGTTGTGTGCAATGCGTCACCGAACATATTGATAGTTCGATATCTTCTTTCATGATCCAGGACAATTTCTTTCTTCTGCAAATGATTTCTTTGTTCCAGTGAGGATACGACCATGCAAAGTGTCCAAGAAGATGTGGGACCACAATCATATGCAGAGCTTTTCACAAGATTGGAGCAGTTCTTGACCAACGAACTTGAACTACTGAAGAAAGATATGCAGTAGTGTCTTTTTATGTAAGTCACAGTACCTGTTCTAATCTCCAATGTTTTCTGCAGTGAACTTGATAGAACAGAAGAGCAACAACTTATTTTAGTGCAAGATCAACTCCAGCGTGAAGAGTTGCGAGCTGAATACAACTCTACAAGGAAGCATGGGGTATCTTATCTTCTGTCGTACTCACTTGCAACTGAATCGAACATGAATCAGTTACAACAAATGATGCTGCATGCGACAAGGGAGCTAGAAAAGGTCTTCATGGCCTCTATCAAATGATGCTGTTGCTCTTAAGACGTTACATTTGGCAAATTCTAAGGATGTTAGAGTACTTGTCTGATTTAGTGTAGATAGAAAAGTATTTCTTAAAGTGTGCTGGACAACTTCAAGTTGAAGAAAACATTACAAAACAATAGAAAGGGCGAACATGGGTAATTTCACATCTATCTCACAATGGGAGTTGTAGGCTGTCGCTCAACCATATAATACAAAATTCATGTCGATTTTCGTCCTCCATTTGATAGAACAGATTCCGACTTGAAACGAAGTGATATAGATTCTTCAAGCGATTTCAGGAAGGATCCAATGGAAGAAACAGATCATCACCTGTATCTGAGCTTCGCCTCCCTCCAGGAGCAGGTGTGGAGATAGGAGCAGTAGTCTCAAAGTCACGTAAGCATGACGCAGAAGAACACAGAAAGAAGCTTACCGCCCTTGCACTCAGACAGGCACTTGTTGTCTTGGTGAAATCGAGGGAGCAATCGATAGGGGATGTACCACTAGATCCACCTGACCAATTGATCAGTCGACTTCGTTCTGTTCGGCGCTGTAATGCAAACCTGATAGCTTCCCCATGCCCTTTGCGATGACAATTCCGAGGATGGCGACAATCTGTGGTGAGGCAAACATGACAACATTCAGGTTCAGAAGATCTCTCATCTCACCAGAATAAGGATTAGGCAAAGAATCATTTTGTCGCTAAGGATATCCGTTAAAAAAGGCAACAAGAGAAATGAGACATAATGTTGAAAGCATGCGTTGGAGGGCTCGAATTACAAAGTCTTTGTACCTGGCTATTCTTCGAGATATTTGTCTTAGAACTTGGTTCGCTCTTCGTAGATCTTCACTCACTTCAGCTGAGCAAAGAACAAACATCAGCAAAATGGCAATGGACCCACATTAACTGTACTTATATCTGCGTTAGTCGCTTTCATTTGTTCTGTGTGATTTTTCAAAGCCAAGTTTGTGTCTTTGGCTATTGTTTCCGACTCCTCCATCAGTTTTTGTGACCTAAAATACGGAGAGCTAAGGCTCAAGATGAAGAAATTCTATCTCTACCTCGATAAAGCCTTGGCGCTTTCATTCTGGGGAGACGTGTCATCGGAATGCAAGTCTTAGAATGCGGAATTCTATTCACCTGAACTTTCTTCCCTTCTTCTATTATCTCTTTTGCTTCCCATGTATTGATGTCCTTGGCATCCCTATCCCCAGCATCCCTGTAGAGCAGCATAGCATATCACTTCTCAACTTGTGTACCCGTCTATCATACTTGGGAGCATTTTGTATTTGTTTTTGAAGACTTTCAAGCTCCTGCTGGATTCTTGACAAGCAAGTCAGATATTTGTTATGTGGTGTCACTGTTTACTTGTATATTTTTCGATGATGTTCGTGTCCTTTCTTTTCCCACTCAGTGTAAGACACCATCCCCTTCTCCTTTAGGATTTCTCTGCATGATAAGCTCAATGGATGAAATCCTGCGCAAAAGCTCTCATGCCTGAGCTCGACACGAAAGCTTGAGTATGAATCTTTTGCCCGCGCTTCGAGGGAAAACATCATTCATACAAACAATCTACTTGTAGACATGTTTACCTGCATTTGCTAGCAGTTCACTCACTTTGTCCTCCTTCTGTCTTCTTGAAAGCTTTGACTTCGGCTTTGACACCTGATCATTTCTTTAGACCCGTTGACCAAGAGGAGCATGACTAGACTGAGAACTACAGAAACTAACATCACGGCTGGATGATCAATTGATATGTGATGACTTCGATATTTCACAGAATCAACGGCAAAGAAAGCATCATCTGCAACAGGAGAGGGGCAGGACTCGAAGTCGATCATAGTTGATATCAAAACTCAAATGCTCCATTTAGACAACAAACCCTTAGCAGCTCTGATACATGCAAGCACAGAGAAGAGCTAGAAAGCCACAGTTTGCAAGTAGCTTCAACGGGCAAGGAGGATTTGCGAGAACAAGAACAAGCGCGAAAGCGAAGCGACAGTGGACTATAAAGAGGATGAGGATGCCGGAGGGTGGTGGTGGCGGTGGTGGTGGAGGGGAGGAGGTGGTATTGGAGGAGGTTGTGGTCAATGGCACAACATTCTGATAAGCATGATGACTATGGCAACGATGCAGACGACAACGAGGACGACGATGACGGTGGTGGTGATGGAGGAGAAGGATGTCGGAGGGAGTTGATGGAGTGTTGGTGTCGGTTTTGATGTTGGCGTTGGTCGGAATGAGCAAGAGGTGGTGGTGGTGGTGGTGGTGGTGGCGGAGGAGGAGGAGGAGGAGGAGGAGGAGGTAATGGTGGCCGAGGCGGAGTAGGAGGAGTAGGAGGAGGAGGAGGAGGAGGAGGAGGTGGTGGTGGTGGCGGCGGAGGAGAAGGAGGAGAAGTGAAGGTTTTACCTCGTCCATCTCCTTTTCGATCTGCTTGCATGCCTTTCTGATCTCTTGATCCAGGTGCTCAATCTCCTCCATTTTCCTGCGCTCCCCCGACTTTACAATTTCATGGTGCAAAACTGTCCATGAAACTTTGAATATTTAGCCGAGAATTATCGGAATCATTTTAGAAACTGTTTGAAAAGATCTGGATTAAATGAATTAGCTAATCTTTTTCAAAAATCATTTTCTATAAGCAGTACAACCTTGTTTTAAAATTAAAAACACCCACTACAATACCATAAATAAACTTTTACAGTTATAAGGAATAGAATGTACTAGTACTGCAGGGAGCCCCTACAGCATTTGAAGAAAACCAATATTAAATTATTGAGTAAAACATTTTAAAACTAGCCTCTATTTGTGGAGGGAGGGATGAAAATGCGTACGTGGCGTCGTAGTGGAGGATGAAGAGAGGGATGGGGAGGGGAGCGAGAGAGGGGAGGAGGGGAGGATGAGGAGGGAAGGATCGATCAACTCTGAGGAGATGCGTGCAAGCTGATGTGTCAGATCAAAGGATGAGAGGGTGAGAACCAAGGCTCGAAGTTGGAGTATTGAACAGCACACACAAGGATCCTGGGAGGCGATTGAGAAGATAGCAAGTTGTGTAACAAATTCCGGCACAAGATAACATCACTGCGTAATGTATGGATAGAAGCTTGCAAATTGACGCGGCCCATCGCACGTATGCAATGTTCAGGATAGAGCTTCATCAAGCCCGCAGGTCACGAGAGGGACAGGCGTATCGGAGGGAGTGGTAGACAGAATGGTAGCGCTGAGTTGAACGACGTAAGGGTACATGAAGGATGATGTCGATGCCTTCGAGCTTCCATGTTTGTTCATCGCTTCGCCATGCTGACGTCTCGGCAGGTCGTTTCCTTACCAGCGAGCAGAGTTGTTGGTTCAGGTTGAAGGAAGGTGAAGGGTAGACAGCCAGGGCAGGAGCCACCCCAAGGGAGCTAAGATATCTTGAGGGGATGAGACTCGCGCGGTACCGCGATGCTACCTGGGGCTGCAAGGCTCTTCTCATACTCTCAGCGCTCCTCGTGTGCGGGGAGGTAGACGGTCATAAGAGTGACTCAGTGAAGAGACTGCTGGCGAAGCATTCGTCCTCATCCGTAGCTTCATCCTCCCTCGATCTCCAGCATCTCCTCGACAGGCCCTTCATGAACCTTGCGGACACTACCAACGACTGCAAGAAGACTGTCTATTATGAGGTCTCCGAGTCCTACTTCTCCTGCTCCTGCTCCTGCTCCTGCTCCTGCTCCTGCTCCTGCTCCCGCTCCAGCTCATTTTCGTCCTCCTCCTCGTCCTCCTCCTCGTCCTCCTCCTTTTCGCTCTCCTCTGCCCCTTCTGTACTATCCTCCGTGCAGCTCTCCTGCTCCTTCTTTCCTTCCCTTCCCTGACTTGGTATAATGCAGGCGTGTATACCCGCGCTCTTCGGGCAAGGATGCACTCGCTTCCCGGTCACTGGGCCGTGCGAGAGTCAGTTCTGTCCTCGCAACTGCACAGGACACGGCCACTGCGAGGAGAGGAACCTGGAGGCTTCTTGCGCGTGCGAGGCAGGATACACTGGTCACTACTGTGCTACCCAGTTGTGCCCGGCGGACTGCTCGGGGCACGGGAGGTGCCATGCCCTAGACGGAACTTGCGATTGCGACAAGGGGTTTGGCGGGTTGGACTGCTCTCAGGTTCAGTGCCCTGACAACTGCACACATCCCAACGGGGTTTGCGATCTCAAGACGGGTATCTGCACCTGCCAGACAGGTATGAGGAAGAGAAATCGAGGCTGAGTAGATGTTGTGTGATGTTGGGAGGGTCTAGTCCTGGGTTATGATGAGTTGAAGTTGAGGGTGTCGACTGTTGTTCTACCTTGTTGATGACATGGTGTTGTTGGCTCCTTGTACTTCTTCCCTCTTCTCATGTCTTGTTGGGCCAGGCTACAGTGGTATCGACTGCTCGCACGAGCCTAAGAAGTTGTATAACGAGTCATGGGGAGTGGTTTTCGCTCTTTCTCTCGTGGGCATCTGCACAATCTTCATCTACATGATCAACTTGTCAAGGTTCAAGTTCTTGCCAGACTCTATCTCAGGTGATGACCAAAATACTCGTTCGAGGGAGTTGCGCAGATGTTTGTTTGGATGCATGCTGTACATGTGGCTTTCTGTTTGTATTTTATGGTTTCCTATGGATGGACTCTAGTACTTAGGTTTGTGAGTATGGATGTGGATGCATGTAAGTATGTTTGTGGTATTCTTACTCACTGCTGTTCATGAAACATGATGGTTTGTAATGGCTGAGGTGGAACTTGACTATGTTCTCCAGCAATCATGATCGGAGCAATCGTTGGCCTCATGATACGTATAATGGGAGTAGACAATAAGGTCTCATTTTCACTTCTCCTCCCTCCCATCTCTCCTCCCCCCTCCTCTATTCTGCCGTCTTCTCCTCCTCTCCTTTCTTCTTCCTCTCTTTATCTTTTTCTCCTCCTCTCCTGCCTTCCCGCTCTTCTCTTCTCCTGGCTTGCTTGTTGTGCTTTTCTGACTATTTCTTGCGCCAGCACTTTATTTTTATTCGCGCAAACTCGATTTTTCTCTTCTTCCTTCCTCTTATCCTTTTCGGTATGCCAATCCTACTCAATCTCTCAACCCCTCCTCCCCCTCCTCAGCTTTTTCCTCCCCCGCCTGCCCGCCCGCCTGCCTCCTCTTCATTCTCCTTTCTTCCTTCCACACTCCGTCCAACTTTTTGACTCCCCCTCTCCCTCCCTTTCTTTTTCCCTCTGCCCCCTTCCCCCCTCTCTCTCCCTCTCCCTCTGCCACTCCTGCTTCATCTTCGCTCTTCCCGCTCTTGACTTTTCTGTCTACTCGATAGAGAGCGGCTACTGTCTCAAGAAGGCCTCGTTCTTCCGGAACTTCCCCACCATTCTTGTCTTCGCTGTTTTCGGTAGGTCATTGCCCAGTACCCATCTGCTCCAGCCTCCTCCTCCTCCTCCTCCTCCTCCTCCTCCTCCTCCTCCTCCTCCTCCTCCACCACCACCACCACCTCCTCCTACTCCTACTCCTACTCCTCCTACTCCTACTCCTCCTCTTCCTTCTACTCCTCCTGTGTTCACTTACACTTTTTCAGGAACTATCATCTCTGCTATGGTTGTTGGCGCAGGAACTTTCTGGTTGGGTCAGCAGGGCCTTGTATACAAACTTTCATTCTTGAACAGGTTTCGAACCCCCGTTGCCTATCTCTTCCCGGCTCCCCTCCCTCTTTCCACTCAATCGCAACTTGCTCCTCCTCCTTCCTCCTCCTCCTCCTCCTTCCTCCTCCTCCTCCTCCTCCTCCTCCTCCTCCTCCTCCTCCTCCTCCTCCTCCTCCTCCTCCTCCTCCTCCTCCTCCTAGTTCTTCTCCCTTCATCTCCTCGTTTGACTTCTCATCAGCATCATCTATGGAGCGTTGCTCGCGTCCACCGATCCTGTCGCCACCCTTGCGATCTTCCAGGCGCTCAAGGTGAGGGGGAGGAGGGGAGAGACCGTAGGAGGGATGCAGGTTGTAAGAATTGCAGGAATGATTCCGATTGTGTTTGTGAGAAGGAGGAGGAGGAGGAAGAGGAGGAGGACCGAAGGAGGGGGAGGGAGAGGGAGAGGAGGAGGTGGAAGAGGACCGGAGGGAGGAGCAGAAGAACGAGGAGGAAGAGGAGGACCGGGAGGAGGATGAATGGATTTTCTTTCAGGTGGATCATACACTGTACATGCTTGCCTTTGGAGAGTCTGTCATCAACGATGCGGTAAGAGAAGGTGGAGGAGTAGCAGCAGGAGGCCATGGAGCAGGGTGAGAGGAAAGAAATGGAGGAGGGTGTGAAAAGAGAGGAGGACAAGGGATAAAGATAAGAAGGAGGGAGTTGGAGTGGAGAGGAGTGAGGAAGGAATATATGGAAGGAGGAGGAGAGGAGGGAGAAGGATTGGAAAGAGGAGGCAGTATAAGGAGGGGAAGGAGGTGGGGGTGGGGGAGGGAGCGAAGGAGGGAAGAGAGATTCTCATGAAGGGACAGGTCTCCATCGTTCTGTTCGAGTCCATCCTATCGCAGTATTACATCAACCAGGAACATCATTCCATGGCTCACTTTCCGGTAAGTAGAAGCAGAGGAGAAGGATGAAGAGAGGGAGAGGGGGAGGGAGAGGGAGGAGGATGAAGAGAGGGAGAGGGAGAGTGGAATGGGGAGGAGCATGAGGATGGGTTATGGTTGTTGCCGATGCCGACTGTTGTTGCTCAGGTTCAGTTTGTCTTCACTTTCACTGCCTCGATCGTCATCGGCGTTACCTGCGCTCTCTTTGCTGCCCTGACGTTCAAGCATCTGGTGCGAAGAGGAGGAGGAGGAGGAGGAGGAGGGAGGGAGGGAGGGAGGGGATGGGGTCCAGCAAGAGCTGCGGGGTGAGGGTCGGACTTGCTGATGACGTGGCAGCACCTTCGCGAGCTCTCGTCGAGCCCGATCGAGATCTCGCTCATGCTCGTGTTCTCCTACATGCCCTACCTGCTGGCCGCGTCCATGCGCCTCGTCCGGTGAGCTCGACTTGTGCTGGAGAGTGC